CATTACACAGGGAATGAGAATGAGAATCCGAATCAGAATCAAGAGCTAAATCAGAATCAGTTGTCAAAGGCGCGGCAGGTGACACACACACACGCACACATACACCCACAAGCTGAGTCAGCATGTGTGTGACCTTTGACATTGAAGCTGCCTTTTATCATTCGCGTCCTTTGTCGCTGTGAGTGACATGTTTTGCCGGGGCGACCACAAAACAGCCAGCAGTTTATTAAGTTGTATGTGACAGCATAAATCAGTGCCACAACACAGCATGCGCCACAAAGTGTGTCCCAGCGCAGGGCTTGGCGAGAGTTGTTTGATTTATTGCAACTGGCAGAAGCATCAGCATTCATATGCCACACATGCCACATGCCACGCGCTATGCGCCACAAGCCAGAAGCCAGATGCCACTTGCAGCATCGCAAATCAACTACTTTTTATTTACAAGTGTAGCCCAAAGGATAACAATTGAATGTGAACGACCAGAACATATCCTATCTTATTCTAGTTGCTATCTATTCTATATAGGAATATATTCATTTTTTCTATGACGAATTATTCAAATCGATAATTATCGATATAATCAATGTGATGGATATACTTTTATCATTTGCTTTGAGTTAAAGTCTATAGACAATATCTGGCCAACACTCTATAACCCAACTTTTACTTTAATATTTCTAATAAATATCGAACTATGCCTAAATTCGATTTTTATCGATAACAACAAAATTGATTGCTGTTTTCCAGTCTTTATCTGCACTTCACTCAAAAAACAATATACTAAATTTAATCAACATATCATATAGCTTATTTGAAAATCAATAGTTATCGATATAACCTAATTAAAATGCAAGGAAATAAGCACATGCCTTTTACACACATTTTTTCGCTTCAGCGCGTTAAGCACATCCGCAATACATGTATTTATATCCTGGGGCTTTAATGTACTTCTATCAACTTGACTTCTTCTGCTTCTTTGAACCATTTTTAATTTGTATGCAAGGCAAGCAGCAAATTAATTTACCGTTGCTAAAGTTAAACAAAGTCCAAGTGTTGGCCATTTGTTAAATTATTTGAACAACTCAACAAGTACGCTCTGAAATTATGTTCAGCGTTCAACTCATTAAGGTACAAAAAGCTGTGCTCCGATAACCCTTCACCCGCACGGCGAAAAACCCTTTTTTGCTTTTTTGGGTAACGGCGCAACAGTTGTTCTCCGATTTCCATGCTGATGATGACTCTCGACATGTTGAGCCACAGCCAGCCTCCCGCTTGGCGCTTCATGTCATAATAACAAGAGGCAGCAGCAAGATAAATATAAACAAGACTGACTGAAAGGTAGCTCAAGAACTGGCAGGGCCAGGCCAGTCAGCAGGCCAGACTGCCTGATGAGCATTCTGCTCTGGGCTGTGTGGTTTGGCCCGCAGCTAAGCAGCACACACTTCAATATCTTTTTGCAACAATCAACCTAACGACATCATGATAAACACAGGCAACAGCGAAACCAAGAACAAGACAAACAACAACAACTACAACAACAACCAATTGACATTGAAAAGGTTGTGCCACAAGGGAAGTGACGAATTTGCTTTGCTTTGGTCTGTCTGTTGTTGAAACAGTCTCCGCTAATTTATACAGTCCCCAGGAACAATAACAAAAAATTTATAAACGAATGAGAAAAGAATCAACTGTTGGGTCAGCCTCAACCTGAGCCTGAGCCTGAGTCATGCTCCCAAGCAGAAATTATGAGAATATTCAATTTTTTACATATTTCAATAAAAATCTAAATTATTTTTAGCTACAACTTTTATACCCAGCTGAAATTTGGAAACTCAATTTTCGACTTGATTGATTGACAATCATTCAAAACTTGAGAGAGTCAACTTTCTAAGCCTTTTAAATTTTGCCACAAATAAGTAAAATAATAATGATTACAAAAATGCCAGTTTTTATTATGATTGATTGGCTAATGAATGGTTGATGATAAGGTAATTATTTATATATACACTTAGTATAAAATACCGTTTTTGATTGAAGAATTCATTAATATATAACTTATAAATCAATCGCTCTTCTTTATGCAAAGGTTATATATTTAATAGAAAAAATTCAAATTTATCTTAAGATTGACGATGATTGACAGATTGATAGTCTGAAACATGGAACTAATCATTATATTCAATGACTTGCTTAATACTACAAAGTACTGTCCTGATTGAAGGATTGATGTAGTTCAAAATGTAAAGTTATCTTTTCATAACTTGATTGATTAGCTGACTGATTGAAGATTACAGCAGAGTGCAAGACCTTAAAGCAGACAAGTTTTCAGTTGTCTCTTGTAAAGACCCTTAACTTAGTCTGAATCCCGTACAATTCGATTTAGTTCACCCATATATGAAAATGTTGAACCAATTTGTAGCGTTGGCAAACACCAAATCAAATTAGTTAATTAAGTTGACCTATTTCAGCATGGGAGATTTTATTTTTATGACAGATTTCATGTTGTGAAAGAGGAGCTAAAGCTGTTTGCCGTTTTTCCCGCTGACCACATGATGAAATTTAATTATAGACCAGCAACATGAAAGAAGAAAGGGGAATCGAACCACAAATGGACATTGAAGGCTATGCAAATTTGCGACTCTTTAACTTTTCGTTTAGCTTCTGTAGAAGAAGTACGCTTAGCCACAATAATATTCAACTGATGTCTATTTGTAATTCTCAGCTCGTATTTGCCATATGGCGCAGGTGGAGGAACCCAATTGCCATGAGAACTGGGCAACATTGGCCTAGTTAGGCTGAGGCATTCCACTTTTTCTTTAACATGCTATTGTCTTTGTTGTTGTTTACATAGATGGTGTATACAGTTAGCACACACACACACACACACACACAGAGAGAGAGAGAGAGACACGCACACGCGGCTCACTTGCCTAGTTGTCAGTCAGTTAAACAGTTGGCACATTCCCCAGCGAATCGCCCTCGGCTGCAGGAAATGCTACTTGTTAGGCAAAAGCCGCACATGCCGCAAAACACACAACATACATGACTGCGCACACACACACATACAGACAGACACACACAGACTCACATATATACTGTGCTGCTTACATGCTGATTTGATGTGGATAACTTGTAAGTTGTCTTGGATTTGTAAAAAGCGCCATGTTGCGGCTGCCTTTTTGAGCGAAAAGGTTGTATAGATACACATACTCATATATATGTACATATATGTATGTATATATAAATAATATATAGATAGACAGCATAAATTTCAATTTTAGATTATGTGTGCTTAATAAAATATTTGTGCTCATGTGCTGGAAACATGGCAATCCCGTGTAGCTTACTAGTTTATGTTTCCCTTTTTCATGTTCTTGATTTATGCATACATATATATACATCAACTACATTTGGCATCTTCCCAGGGGAAAAGCCAGCAGAGAAAAGCACAAAATCGTGTGGCCAGCTCACCTTGCGGCTGGCCTCTAAGCCATATAGACTGCCCCCCCAATTGGTCTAATTAACAAGTGCCAAAGCCAGAAAACTCTCTGAAAGTTTCTCTGGCATGTGTTGCTGTTGTTGTTGTTGTTGTTGTTGTTCACGTAAATCCCAATTAATTGTATTTAAACTTGGGCACTCGCTGACTCTGGCATTGGCCAGCCGAGCGCGCATCTTCACATTAAATTTGAAAGCTGAGCAAAATCGTGTTGCCTACTTTCAGGCGCCGGGAAAAAATAATCTATATAAAATATACATACATATGTATATTTCGGCATATTTCTGACTATCAAATCTTAAGCTTCTATGAGTATTAAAATTTTATAAAATTTACTTTGACTTTATATTAAGCAAAATTACATGAAGTCAAGCACACGAAGCAAGAGAGTGATTATTACATACGCATTCGACTCAATCTTGATATCAGCTCTATTCTATTCTCTATTCTACGACAAGAGTTAAATTAATTTTGTTGGCTGATTAGACTGATCAGAAATCGATATCTCTCTATTAACTACAATTTAAATAGTTACTGCTCAGACTAGAGCCGACAGAATGCGGATATTTGCTGCGATATTCAAAGTTGATTATTAAAGATAAAGAAGGATATACACGAATATACACGAATATACACGTAAAAAAAGAACATAGCATCCGTGATGGAAAGCGAGCAAAGAACGGCTGATTGATGATTGACTACCCAGAAATCAAAACTCCTTGTTCACTGCAATCATAGTTATGAATATGTAACCGATTGAACTATCATTGGCTAAAAGCCAATCAATATTATCAACATCGAATACTATTAACACATTGATTCAACCATGGCGAAAAACTATCAAATACATTGAACAACATCACCAAGCGAACTGTTCCAAATGTATCTGATATTGAGTTGAACCGTCCATCTAAGTACTACCACTGTAGCTCTGTTTACTTTACATACAATATATATTGGTCTGTTGGCCTTTGATCAATGCAAATTAACTATTAATTATGCATTCATACTTAGTGGTGAGGGATTAAACGAGAACCTCGAACCTTCGATAAATCTTCTGATATTCACAGTGTGAATAGTTTTATTACTAAAGTCCAAAGTAAGTGAAACTCATCTCTTATAGCTTCTATTAATTCCTAATCCATCTTTATAGAATGCTGCCCAAATTGAATTCAAAAATGTGCGCTGCCCCGTGCGATGAATGCAGCGATTTCCTACACTATACTATAATCATATATTTACAGTGAGAGCGAACGAGAGACATAGAGAATGACAGAGAGGGGGGAGAATGTGGGAAAGCACCTATCAGCAGATTATCCACAATTCAAAACGTAATGTTGACTTCAGTCGTAATGTTGAAATTCGATTGATTGGTAGAAACCAATCAGTATTATCTCTATCTACTGCTATTCAAATACTAATTGGGTCATATTAACCAGATCGTCAAGCGTATCTTATGGTTAAAAATTGATCTGTTATTATTTTAAAGATCCCAGTGGTTTGTAATAGTACCTAGTATGCTACTACTGTGGAGTATATAAGTGATATTCAGCTTTGATCAGCTCAACAAACGAGTCGAAATGCGGAAAGTTTTTGTGATTCTTGTGATAGTAAAACTGTGGCTAGATTTAATATTGATTACCAATGTGCGTACATCCATCATTCATCCTTCTTCAGAATTCGATAATCCACAGCTCTATTTTATAGAATGCTGCGCTACTTAAATTAACAAACGCGCGCTGTACCGTTTACAACGAAAGCTGGGTCAAACTAAACGTTTGTCGCTTGAAGGCAATAAATCGCAACAGGACAGTATTTAATTTTAATGCTACCATTTTATATCCAACGTATCAGATATCGATAAACGGTCAGCTTCTGAAGAAGGCTAACGGCTATAAGCCCTGGCTTTTTAATACATCTGTTGACTTTTGTCGATTTATCAGAAGACCGTATAATCCAATAATTATACTATACGCCAAAGCTATACGGGACTTCGTCAACTTCAATCACACCTGCCCCTATGTGGTGAGTCTGAGATCCATCACATATATTGAATACTTATATTAGCAAATTATTCATTTAAGGGCCACCAAATTGTCAGTGGACTTCATGTGCCGTACGAAAGTTTGGGATTGCCGTTTCCAACGGGAGAATATCTTCTAAAAATAGATTGGTTTTTCCATCACAAAATGCAATTTTCAACTGATTTGTACGCGGCGGTTGACGAAGGTATTATAAAATCAAAACGAAATAGTGTCAAAAGCTATCAATGAAATTGTATTTGATAAAAATTTTTAAAATATATTAGTTCAATTCAACTATATAATAGAATTTCTCATACAATGCAAAGCGAATAAATAAAGTTTACTATAGAATATTGAAAGCAGGTCTTTTGTTATTACAGTAAGCAAATACATACATATATGATTTTTCCACACAATGCGATTCAGCGTATCGTGCAGACTGGAATATACTAAACGAATTCACCTTACTTTTTGTCCACAGTAGTAAGTCAAAATAGTAAGCATTTTCGTCGGTAATGTAATTATAATCATATTCTTAATCATAAACTGAATCATCTTTAAACCTGTTTCTAAAATATTTAAATTTGTATCGTTTCCGCGACAGCAATTAAAAATTTATAGACCTATGAAAATGACATCACCTATTAAAATGACATCATATCACATTTGATCGTTGATGCTGTTTAAGCAGTCAGTTAATTATTGATGCAATGAGATACACTAGAGACAAAAGTGAAATCGGAACCATAGACCTCACTCGAGGAACGATCTCCAAAGAAGACGCAAAGGTGATGTCCACATATTTCTGGTATTCATACGATGTCATCTCCAGGTGGATGGAGAACGGCTTTACTTTACTGAATTATTAGTTCAAACATACACATCTCTCATAGGGCAATACAGAGGGTATATCAAGAAGTATTCCATAAAAACTAGAATATTATCATTAATTCCATTCAATAAATATATATGTTCTTGATGACGACGACTTGACTCTTAGCTAATTACGGCTGTTAGATATTACGCCTGGATTCTCGACAGTTTTCAGAGTATATATATATATATANCGTCGCGCTGATCAAGAATATATATACTTTGTGGGGTCTGCCACGCCTCTTTCTGCCCGTTACATACTTTTTCACAAAACCATTATGCCCTGATTTTCCATTTTCAATGGGTTCAGGGTATAAAAACAAATGGCATGTAATGTCAGTATATAGTGAGATAGATAGATAACCATAAATAACAATTTAAAATGTGTAAGTGTATTAAAATGGCATTACCTGTGAACAATTTTGAAAGTTATTTTTATTAGCAGCAATACCGTCAAGCGAGCAAGTCGAAATGCGGAAAGTTCTCATTATATTGGGGATACTCGAAGTGTGGCTAGTTTTATTATTAAGTCCCAATGTGAGTACATCATTTATCATAATTTCGATATTCAATATTCCCCAAGTCTATTTTATAGAATGCTGCGCTACTTAAATTTACAAATGCGCGCTGTACCGTTCACAACGAAAGCTGGATCAAAGTAAACGTTTGTCGGTTGAAGGCAATAAGTCGTTACAGGACAGTATTAAATTTGAATGTTACCGTTTTATACCCAACGTATCAAATATCGATAAACGCTCAGCTTCTGAAGAAGGCCAATGGCTATAAGCCCTGGCTTTATAATGTATCCGCTGACATTTGCCGGTTCCTCAAAAAACCGTATCATCCAGTAATTAACCTATTCGTAAAAGCTATACGGAACTACACAAACTTCAATCACACATGCCCCTATGTGGTGAGTCTAAGATCCAAATTTATGTGAATACGTATCTTAGCAAATTATTCATTTAAGGGTCCCCTAATTGCTAGCGGACTTCACGTGCCGTATGAAACGTTAGGAATACCGTTTCCAACTGGAGAATATCTTGTCAAACTAGATTGGTTTTATCACCTCCGAAAACAATTGTCAACAGATTTTTACTTTTCGATTGACGAAGGTATTCTGAGTACAAAGAGAAGTATTATTAAAAGGTAATCCCAAACAACCGATTTGAAAAAAAAAAATCAAATAATAAAAAAGCTGCAATTGAATACGTTATTTATTAATTTATTTTTTTTATTAAGTAAGGACAAATAAATTGAGCAGATGATCCGTCGAGAATACAGACAAAACAACAATCTCTAAGCACTGTTACATTTTTTTTTTCAAGAATGATTTGGATTACTGTTCATATATTCTGTTTCGATATGTTTCATTGAAAATATTTTTAATTGCTTTCATTATATCTGCATTGATTGTAATTTATATATTTTCATATTTGTATATTTTAACGAAGACCTGAGTCAAACTCAATTAAATACACTTAATATGGTTATTGTACCATATACATAGAAACCTAAACATCGAACTATTAAGCATTGAACACAAATTGCTCTGGAAATAACTAATTGCCACATCCAATCAACACAAAGAGAAAAACAGGAGAAAACAAGTAAGAAGGCTACAGTCGAAACTGCTCGACTAGGACATACCCTGAACCCTCCAAGCTGAGACACACACACACACACACACACACACACATACATATAGGGGTGGGGGTAAATTTTAACAAAACCGAAATTGTATAAAATGCATATAAGTATACATTTAAAATTTGGAGACTCTAGCTTTAAAGATGTAGGAGATATATTATAATTTTATAGCTGATTTTCGATTAGGTTTTTTATCGATAAAAAAATATCGTGATGAGTTATCGGTTTTTGGTGATAAACTCGATATCCGCGCTGTATATACGGACATTTTAAAAAATACGATAAATTCAAACTTATATTTCAAGGATGCTAGGGAAATAAAGTATACAAATCTACGCTGCACCGCTCATAATAAAACATACATTACGATTGACGTTTGTCGATTGAAGGCAATAAGTCGTAATAAGACAGTTCTTAATGTAAGTCTTACATTTTTGTATCCAGCAAATATGATTGAGAGAAACTTTCAACTTCTAAAAAGGGCAAATGGCTGTAGGCCCTGGCTTTACAATACTTCTGTGGACTGGTGTCGGTTTGTCAAAGAGCTTGGAATACCTTATCCAACTAAGGAATACCTTGGCAAAGTAGACGTGTTCTTTTATCACAAAAAGCAATTTGAAAATACCCTGCAAAGGGCTTCTCTTTTTTAGCCCAAGCTCTGCTGACGGTGCAGGTAGAGCGGTTACTGCGTCTGGTTTGCAATTTGTACAATGGTCACTAAAGCCTTTAAGTCCAAATCAGTCTAGAAATGAACGAAGGCATTACTGCTACTTTTTACATAATAGGAACAACTAGTCAAGGCTCTTGGGAAAACAAAGGATAGGGTAAGAAGTTTGCCGAATGCAAAATAACATATAGCATATATGTACACTTGCCAAAGTGCAAGTATCTCAGATATCTTTCTATTACTTGAAAGGAGTCTTACCGAAAAAAATGAGGCATTGGTGAAAGTGGAATTTAAAAAATGCATTTCAGTATTTTCAAAAGATCATTTCGTTAACTTTTGATGACTTTTTCACCCCTCTTCTTTCTCCCTCTCCCTCTCTCTGCCTCTCACTCTCTCTGCCTCTTACTCTCTCGTTATATCAACAAGTAAGAAGGCTCCAGTCGRGACTGCTCGACTAGGAGATACCCTGAACACTCCAAGCTGATATTCTAACAATTCTGCACTTCTTTTATGCACACATACATATACATGCAACCGCTAACTGCGGAGTAAGCAGCGACTGCGCTTCGGCAGCGCTGCAGTGGGGGCAATATTATGAGAATTTATTTGTCAAATAATTTCTTTTGTAGACATACGATCTTAATGAAACTTTCAGAGTGTAATCATATGGTGAATATGTATGTACATTCCAAAGCACAAGTCTCTAGTACTTGAAATGCGTTTTTTACAAATTGGGGGAGAAGGGGGCGTGGTATCCAAAATCTGTAAATTACAAAATCTTTGTATCGATTAACTTTATATACAACACAAATTTGAAGACTCCAGGTCTAAAAATGTTCAAATTAGGCTAAAAAAACAAAATCAATTTTTCGATTATTCTCGATAANTTTTTTTTAGTTATGGGCCATTTTTACCATGTTGCAAGCACCGAAACTTAAAGCGTTCATATATAACTCAATGTAAAAGCGCTTGGCTGCCGCTCATCGTCAGCATTTGAAGCAGATTATACAAATTTATGCAACACTGTTGGCACTTTCATTCCATCATCCTCCTCCTCACCTGCCCGTCCCCTTGTCTGCTTGGGGCCTTGCCACCATTTTTGTTTGGCATTACACTGCTGACTGCTGTTTTTTACGAGAGCTGACGCAATGGCGGCTCCTACTACTGCCCCTACTCCTGCTCCTGCCCCTACTCCTGCTGCTACTCCTGTTGCTGTTGCTGTTGCGCATTTCCGGGCCCTCAAGCTTTGCGCTCAGTGCTGTTGGGCGCTGGGGAGTTAGTTAACAGTTGCTAGTGGCAATGGCACAAAGTCGACCAACCGACATGAAGAGCACCGACCGTCCGACTGCCCAGACAAGCATTTGATTTTCATTAAAAAAGTCGTCAATTTGACTTAACACGGTTACAAAATACCCCAAATGTATTTATAAATCTGGGAACTGATATTTCTCAATATCAACTTAGTCAAAACTTATGTAAAATCCATTAAAATAAAATAGGCAAGAGTATGAGAATTTATTTGTTGAACAATTTCTCTTGTAGTGGGACTATCTTCATGAAACTTTAAGAACGGGATCATAATATGTACATATATATTCCGAAGAAATAAAAAATCTGTGCATTCATCAAATGTATAAAAACCGAAAATCTAAAGTCTCTAGGTCTAATGTTCACTTCTGTCGTAATGCTGAAATTCCATTCCAATTGATTGAATCATTGGTTGAAACCAATCATTCTTATCTATATCTACTGCTATTAAAATACTAATTGGGTCATATTAACCAGATCAACAAGCGTATCGAACGGGTAAAGATCGATCTGGTATTACATTAAAGAGGCTAGAGGCGTGATCGTCACCATAAAGTTTGTAATAGCACGTAGTATTCAAAGCTGAATATCACTTATATTCAGCTTTGATCAGCTGAACGAATGAGTCGAAATGCGGAAAGTTTTTATGATTCTTGTGATAGCCAAACTATGGTT